CACAAATATTCAGTTTTAGAATATTACAAGCAGTAAAAAGAAAATGAGTAAAGTTGACAAGATTTATGATGACTTAAATTTTGTTATCGACAATAAGAGGAAACGTCACTGTCTCTTTTATTTCTCACGTATTTTCTTGTCTGTCATCTCTCACGTCCTTATCTATTAGTCTTTCATCAAAATTTTATTCAAATGTCAAAAATAGAATTGACTCATAGAGATACTTTCCATTTACTTGCTAAATGAATTACTTTTCCAATTTCGAGCCTCAGGAGATTTCTGCGAATATGGCAAAGTATACCAAAACATCATCGTTGTAAATAATGCATTGTTGATTTTTTATTTCCCGAAAAGATGCGTCTGGTTTATATATATATCGAAAAGGAAAGTTGGGGTAAAATGGTTTTAACGTTGTATGAAATAAATATTGGATGGTGCCCAAACTGCCTCATCGCCCGGTGAGGTCGAAATTGGTTTCTTTCTGACAAGACAGAGTCCATTTTGGAAATCATATAGGCAAGGCGAAGCCCTTGCACTGTGTGGCGTCACACGATACTTGAAAAAGTGCAAAAACTCGCGAGAAGGGGGGTAAACTTTTCAACCACTTTTTAATAATAAGGGCGAAACTCTATGTCTTTTTTTAAAGCAATGCTGTTATGCAATAGGCTGTATTGTTGGATCAATTATGTCAGATTTTATTCGTTACCCCATCGCACTTGCTGGCCAGTCATAATTTCTGACACGCTCTCCTCCAAATCGCCCGAAATCTCGCTTGATCACCAGACTTTGGCCAATCTTGGGTGATTTCGATTGGACATAGACCGGGAACATAGTTACTTTATGAACAAGTAAAAGGGGGATCTCCAAATTTTCCATATTTTTAAAGATGCTAGCCGTTGCAAGCAAATGCACGAGGAGTTATTAAAAATGTAAACGATTGGTATAGTTGGTCTCTTTTACAGTAGCTGATGTTATATTGTTCTTATATGTAGGACAACATGTAAATGCAAAATGCAATAGGTCTACTTCGAGTTTATCATTTTTCTACGTTTTTTTTTTTCGAAAAATATCTTGTTATTACACAAGAGAAATGGTAGTGTTATGGTTGCACGAATTCCCCTTCTCATAAGTGCACTCAGTACACATTCCACAGACTATGGTCATACTATTTACTTCTCTTCTTTGCAAGTTCATATGCTTTTATACTAGTAATTGGATCATTTCCTTGTCGTGTAACCATTTGTCCATTAATTGCTTCTCTATAATGCTTTTCTATAATATACTGATAATGCCACTTTCTGTGTCAATGACTTACAGATCATCGTTTGATTCCTTTCCACCAAAACCAGACCTACCCACGCATTTATTTTATGATTTTAGTAGATCTAGAAACTATCGATAAATGACATCGACAGAATACGCAGTTTCAAAATGTCTCTCCTTTTTCTTATTGCAGGGCATGTTTACAGGAAGTGTCTCTGGAGATTCACTCCTGCACTGAGGTGACTTATTTTCACACCGTTTATTAAAGGCGCGGGCGTTAATTAAGAAAATCCATGGGGTTTATTATACATATCGCCCTATGATATTAAAGCTTAGTAACTCATAATCACTTTACATTGATACACTGTAGGTAACTTGTATTATATAAACGTTTGATTAATTTTGAGCATTTTTCTGTCATTTGAAACAAACACAGAGCATTGGAAGTCAAACAGCTCTGCGATTTGAAACATGGTAAACAAACAAGCAAAAAACAAGCAAAAAAAAAANTTTTAAAGCAATCCATAGAATTTTTGTTATTCTTATCAAAGATATTTCATATGTACATTGGAGTATAAAATTAAGTAAGAGAATTGCAGTAAGAAAATGCAGTAAGAGAATTCTTAACACAGATTCTTTTAAGGTAGAATACGCCCTTCACGTCCCTTTGCCGGGCCACAATACTTAATGTAATACTTAGCTCAGCTTTTAGTAAGCTCAGTTGTACTATATTTCAGTTTATTTATGTCTTCAAATATATGGTTTGAAATAAGTACCTAAAATACATGGTACAAATAATTTCTGTCTTTAAATGACTAACAGGAATGTTTCGTGCATTTTTCCTTTGCACATTTTGGTGTATTGAAACCGCAATAATCACATAAATATGACTATCTTGAATATCAATTAAAGGTTGAGAGAGGTATGTTTTTAAGAAATAATGCAATCTGCTCAAAGCATGAACCTTCTTACCACACAAACATTCAGTTTTAGAATATTACAAGCAGTAAAAAGAAAATGAGTAAAGTTGACAAGATTTATGATGACTTAAATTTTGTTATCGACAATTAGAGGAAACGTCACTGTCTCTTTTGTTTCTCACGTATTTTCTTGTCTGTCATCTCACACGTCCTTATCTATAAGTCTTTCATCAAAATTTTATTCAAATATCAAAAAATAGAATTGATTCATAGAGACACTTTCCATTTACTTGCTAAATGAATTACTTTTCCAATTTCGAGCCTCAGGAGATTTCTGCGAATATGGCAAAGTATACCAAAACATCATCGTTGTAAATAATGCATTGTTGATTTTTTATTTCCCGAAAAGATGCGTCTGGTTTATATATATCGATAAGGAAAGTTGGGGTAAAATGGTTTTAACGTTGTATGAAATAAATATTGGATGGTGCCCAAACTGCCTCGTCGCCCGGTGAGGTCGAAATTGGTTTCTTTCTGACAAGACAGAGTCCATTTTGGAAATCATATAGGCAAGGCGAAGCCCTTGCACTGTGTGGCGTCACAGGATACTTGAAAAAGTGCAAAAACTCGCGAGAAGGGGGGTAAACTTTTCAACCACTTTTTAATAATAAGGGCGAAACTCTATGTCTTTTTTTAAAACAATGCTGTTATGCAATAGGCTGTATTGTTGGATCAATTATGTCAGATTTTATTCGTTACCCCATCGCACTTGCTGGCCAGTCATAATTTCTGACACGCTCTCCTCCAAATCGCCCGAAATCTCGCTTGATTTCCAGACTTTGGCCAATCTTGGGTGATTTCGATTGGACATAGACCGGGAACATAGTTACTTTATGAACAAGTAAAAGGGAGATCTCCAAATTTTCCATATTTTTAAAGATGCTAGCCGTTGCAAGCAAATGCACGAGGAGTTATTAAAAATGTAAACGATTGGTATAGTTGGTCTCTTTTACAGTAGCTGATGTTATATTGTTCTTATATGTAGGACAGCATGTAAATGCAAAATGCAATAGGCCTACTTCGAGTTTATCATTTTTCTACATTTTTTTTTTCGAAAAATATCTTGTTATTACACAAGATAAATGGTAGTGTTATGGTTGCACGAATTCCCCTTCTCATAAGTGCACTCAGTACACATTCCACAGACTATGGTCATACTATTTACTTCTCTTCTTTGCAAGTTCATGTGCTTTTATACTAGTAATTGGATCATTTCCTTGTCGTGTAACCATTTGTCCATTAATTGCTTCTCTATAATGCTTTTCTATAATTTACTGATAATGCTACTTTCCGTGTCAATGACTTACAGATCATCGTTTGATTCCTTTCCACCAAAACCAGACCTACCCACGCATTTATTTTATGATTTTAGTAGATCTAGAAACTATCGATAAATGACATCGACAGAATACGCAGTTTCAAAATGTCTCTCCTTTTTCTTATTGCAGGGCATGTTTACAGGAAGCGTCTCTGGAGATTCACTCCTGCACTGAGGTGACTTATTTTCACACCGTTTATTAAAGGCGCGGGCGTTAATTAAGAAAATCCATGGGGTTTATTATACATATCGCCCTATGATATTAAAGCTTAGTAACTCATAATCACTTTACATTGATACACTGTAGGTAACTTGTATTATATAAACGTTTGATTAATTTTGAGCATTTTTCTGTCATTTGAAACAAACACAGAGCATTGGAAGTCAAACAGCTCTGCGATTTGAAACATGGTAAACAAACAAGCAAAAAACAAGCAAAAAAAAAAAAAAACNCCCCCCCCCCAAAAAAAAAAAAAAAAAAAAACAGTCCACCTTAAAAGGTATTAAAGAATTGATTGATTTATGTGCGAAGCGAAATTACTTGACAATTCGCAAGTATGCGTCAATAACTTTGTAACTACACTTGGTAAAATCGAGTTTTTCAAAATTTCTAAACGCTGTTTTAAGTATTTTCCTGTCTTAATGTATGTGACACATACTCCTTATACTTTATATGCACATTGTCAGTAGATGTACGAGTTCAGTTGCTAATGATGAATCTAAATACGTCTATGTACCTTTCACCAGCACGCTATGTAAATAAATAAAATACACACAAAACAAAAGAGACTTGACAGACGCCAGAAATCTATAGCAGACCTTGAGTTAGGAGAATACATATCTTATCAACTGAGATTACCGTCTTGTCTTGCGTGATTCTGAAGTTGTCTAATGGGTTCTCGTTTGACTACCCATATCTGATACCATCTGCAAATGATCACGCTAAGAAGGCATCGTTAAATAATCAAATCAGATCATCTGGCACTGGGTCATTTAATCCATGCGGTCACGACTTCGGCAGTAGAATACTGTTTTCTATCTTTCTATGGCTCCGTTATGTATACAGTTATAGCTTTTTAAGCTAACGAAACATGGAAATACCTGTGACTGGCCAAGATTTGTTATAGGTAACACGAATTAGAAACAACTTGTCAAACTTTCTTAACTGAATTATTTTTGCCTTGAAGTTGTGTCAGATGAACACCCTAGCACCCAAAGGCAGAAGGAATGTTAAAGTCATGTTATTCTTTGAATAATTATTATATAAATCTAGCTTTATGATAGGAAATGTTATTTTAATAACACCTATTCTCAACTAATGGTATTCATACAGAAAACAGTGGACATACCTTTTTGTATGAAGCCTATTTGATTGATACAAATTAACAAAAGTTACCGATTCGTCCTTTTCTAAAGTCAAATATACGAAAAATACATACCAATTTATCTGAAAGCGGAATCCTTTGCGCAAAAGTTCACTTATTGACTTGTCGTCTGCTGCACAATCACGTTACCAGTAGATCACTAGTGTCGCCTGTCAGATTTATACAAACCAATGAAACACTAATCGACGTAACAGGGGACAGTATGTTAATGACTAGCGCACCTGAGCATCGATTCATTAGTCATTATGTTTAGATAAATCCATAAGCAAAAGTTTGCAAAACCCACCTGTTTGTGCCAATATACCGACTAATGGACTCTGCGTGAACTAAACTGATTGGGTTAATAGACTATCATGAAGTAATTCGATCGGTACATATACATTTCAATACCGCTGGCAGATGCATTTATTAGTACAACTTCCCCTTGTAGTACGAGAGAAATGAAATTAAATGGAATCTACCTGAATGCTTTTCAACGCAACCCAAAAAATGCTGAACAGATCAATACTTCATACATTTTTAACGAATAAGAATAGAAACGGAAATTTTGTCCGGACTGATAGGCACGATTCTGGTGACGCAGATGAAACAAATAGCATAAACCGGATATAATATCATTATTAAGTCATCACAAAGTAGATTTTAACATGTTTATGCACCGAAGAATACGGTTATTTTAGAAAACGATTAAAAACTCTTGAGAATTCAATTGCATTTCGTTTGATTTTATTGACAATCCTTTGGGAGAAGCTACATCTTTTAAGAACTATTGAGCATCTGCTCCGTGTCTGTGCCGGGAACCCAAGGGGTATTAATAGGTGTGCAGTGATCTGTATTACCTTAAATCACGTCCTAATCCAGTCTTTTTTCACTCTCTTATCATGTTTCTTAAATAATTTAATCTCTTGTGATTGTATGCTGGAGTTTAATATCTGTATGTGCCCTTGCAGGCATGCTGGATTTTCTAAAGTATAGTTTAAAACTCCGTCGTGAAAGCGGAAAAGGTCTGTTGGGAAATTCCTCTAAGAATGAAATTGAAATAACGGTAATGGAGTTAATTCTTTTGACATTTCCTTTTTTATTCACGCTTAGGAGCCTAAACCAGACAAGTAAATTTATCTAAGACAACCTACTATTTTTCGGATAAAATTTTCATTTGGAGGCAATCTAAAATATCTCTTTAAGTTTAATCTATACAAAGAGTTTGTTGGCGGTATTTTAAAGCTTTTTAATGGCCCAATTTGAAGGATCTGACTCAGTCACTTTTTACAATTTCATATTGGGACAAATCCTCCCCCCCCATCTCTCTCTCTCTCTCTCTCTCTCTCTCTCTCTTTTTGTGAGAATGGACTTGAATGCTTGAACTGTGGGGGCCTAACTTTTATGAAGTATTGACGTCAATGCAATGGCAAAACGGTCATCTAACGAATCATCTTCCCCTGCACCCCTTCTGCAATTCCTGTGTCAGATACTGGTTAATAAGGTTTCTAAGAAACATGTGGCAAGCACATCGTGGATATTAAATCAAATTGTATTGGTCAAAGAAGGAAGTTCACATTAGTGTTCACGACATAAAAATGGCCGTAAAAGCACGTTCGTCGGAAGTGCGTTTAGGTGCTATTCCAGTAATACTGAGGAGCGCCAGGCTGTTGTACGAAGGAACAGTCTCCAGTAAGAAATTGCCATAAGTTTTGAGAAATGACGTACTTTTGAGAGATAGAGATAAACAGCTGTTATGTCATAGGCTTCACATATATGTACATCATTAAGGAAATTAGGATACAGGCCTCGTCACGCATATGAAAAATATTGCTTACGTGTTACATGCAACTTCTGAAATACTTATGAAAGCATAGCCTTGTAACGGAGAATATGTCAAATTTGAAAAGACTGAAATGAAAAGCAATTGGGATGAAGTAATCGCATACTGTGTTTGTCTTGATACATCTATACATGTATTTGTGAAAGGAACATCGAGGCACCTGTAAACTGAACTTATTGTCCAACTTGATGTCGCAAAACTCGGCAATTCAAACACTGTCAATGTTTTTGTGGTATTTAGAAACGTCAACACATCAAAGCAACAGCCGAGCGTGCGGCTGATTGGCCAATTTTATAAAAGTCCGTTTTCATCGATCGCCATTGAAAAATATTGAAGTTATGCAAAAAAAGTCAAGCAAAGTTGAATAATGAAAGTTTCCTTGACAGTACTTTCGCGTGTTGACACACGTGAAAAAGTAATGAATATAAAATGAGATGTGCTTACAGAATGGCCGGTTTCCACTGTAAGTCTTAGAAGCTTTGTGGATAATCTTGGAAAAACCTTTAACACTCCAAGGTTAATGCGTTTTCGGCTTGAGTACAAAAGAAATTTCAAGAACGAAGCTATATTCCCTAGAAAACCCTAGAACAATGTGAATCAAAGTGTTCTGTCAAATTATTTGAATGGCGAAAAACACGTTACAAGATAATTTTCTTACTCTAAAAATTTCAACAACCTTCCGGACCATTTGAAACAAACAATACTGGGTAAAGATCCTTCTGTTCCACAAAGTACTGTTTGGATGTTACGAGAAAGCTTAAACTTTCAATGAGTGACATACATGTGACAATGAAGACAATTTCGCAACATTGCCATTTGAATCAACGGAACAATTTAGTACAATAAGATGTAATTGGCAATATCGTAGGAAATGCGCTACTCTGGTGATAACTACAATATGATTTCTTTACAAATTTACCCAAAATGTCGCCAAAATGACTGATCGATTTCTTTAACCCTCCTCTTTTACACATTCACTCTCCTCCAGTGCAATTTAACGTGTTGGTATGAAGTCTGACAGACAGACATAAGCTATATTAAGAATGTATCACCATTATAGGCTGTATGCATACAGCTGATTGGAAGATATATAATCTAGCACGAAACAGAAGCACCTTTTAATGCTTTATGATAAAAATATATCATGGTTTCCAGTGTTTTAATGATCTTTAAAATTGACAGTTAAACTGAAAAAATGATCGTAAGATCAAGATGTTTTCTTGGATATCAGGAGACAGACCCAACCATTGTTTGAACATTAGCCGTGAGAAACTGATTAACCCCCCTTTACACTGGACGGCATCCTTTCTGCGTCTCGTAGTACGGCCCCGTTTGTGAGTAAGAAATAATGATTTATGTAGCTAAATGTTCACAAGTGAAACGGAGCTAGGTTTTTGTTCAAAATTAAATAAGAAATATGACTGAAAATTGCCATTTATTAATATGACGAAATGTAATATCATATGAAGTTACAAGACGGGGGATAGTAACAAAATCAAATTAAATGATCAGACATACATCCCCCATACAAAGGAGCAAAATGTTGGCAAAGAGCAAAACAATGGCCAAAATAATACTTTACGTGCCGACAACTGACCGATCATTGAGCATTCATTCTGCAACCAAAGCGATGCTTGTGCCTCCTTTCTACGACCACAGCGATGTCAGTTTCATGCCCATACAAATAGAAAGGACGCCGTCCAGTGTAAAGGGGGATTTCAAGACCGTTTCTATGGCCGTATATTGGAGGATTTGATAGAGGCGACAGACTTGGCACCGCCAAAAGCATTCGGTATTAGCATATATGGCTCCGCTTATCTACTGCATTTTCAATGACACCATCCATAGTACGAATAAAGCTAAATCAGAGAAAAGGGTGTTAAAGGTCATTCAATAATTTTCAATAATTTTGATGTTTGATATCATAGATTAGCATTGTTCCAATTTACATTTACGAATTTAAGCCGACTAGTTACATTTCAGGTAGCCCTTCAATGTTGCTGATAAACGACTCCTAGTATAGTCAAACCTTGAAAACGGTTAGTGTGGTCCGATATACCGGTGAATTCAGAATCTTTCGGTGCCGAGTCTGGTAGTTGGGTAGGCCTGGTTATCCTCGCGGAGAAAAGAGATTTAACACGCCTCACGTCAAGTGTTAATTGCAAAATAAGAACACTTTATTTCAGTTTTGATGCACAAAAAATATAAAGTCTGACCCGTCTTTAGAATCTCATGTAGGATAAGAAACTATGATAAACAGTTTTGTAATATGTTTTGTTAAACAGTATTTGGTTCTGTGCTTATCGGACTGTTTACGAAGAGAGTAGCTTAATGATACCTAGTTAATTGGTTACCCTTTTTTGACACTTAACCAAACATATATAAGATTGATGCGGATAAGGCAATGGTCTGAGGAGGACCCTAAAATGCACATACCCTTGCCTTGCCCACTACTACTTAGCAATCAGTGTACAGTAGTAAATATATAGTTATGCTAGACTAATACGGGAAAAGCACATAGTGGATAAAAACCAGAAAAAATACTACTCCAAGTACACTGTACTTGTTTGTTTGATAAGATGCAATTATTGACTGTCGAACAGTTAGCCATATTATGACCATTTACGGAGTTTTATTTCATTTCAAAATCCTTTGAAGGAATTAAATTATTATTCACTTTTAATGTTGAGGTAAGAGGTGAAAATACATATCTGCTCTGGAGATAAATCCATTAGCCTAATGCCTATGGGCACGGAGGTCGTTATAATTAAGGTCAACTTAATGTCAAGGTCGCCTAGTTGAAGCGACATCACGTATTCGCAGAACGTCAAATATTTATAACAGAAAAATGGGTTTTCAATGACCACATTGCTCTTGGACCTTAGAAATTTTCTGAAAAATACTTAAAGCATTCAGGACCGACCACAAAAGTATAAAAGGTCCCAGATCATTTCAATTTTCTTTAGAGTGTGTCCCCTTGTACATGTGTGAGTGAAGACTGTAATTTACAATGAAACTAATTACTATCTAGTAATCGTGGAAGGTGTACTAGTAGAAACTTAAACGGGTATTCCTTTAATTACAAACTGCGTTCTACATTATATCATATATACTATGTATGATTAGACTGGCCTTTGACGAGTGGGCTTAATGAAGACAACACCGGTCTGGTCATTACCTAGTTCATCTAAGAGATTATCTTATTATAATAAAGTCCAGATAAGATGCAGTACAATTGCTTGCTGCAGCATAATGAATTGGTCCTTAATATCTTGATACAATGCACTAACAGTTGAATTGATAATTTCAATTTTATAAGTGTGCTCACTTGTGCGAGTGGGCACAGCTACGACCTGTACGTTATAAAAGCGTTCACCCTTGTGATTCATTTTTAGAACTTATAGCCATATATTTTTGTAGTTCATTTTCAATTCAGTGTCTCCAGACAGCGGTCCTTTTTTTAATCCTAAGCTATTAGATTGCTTTAATCAGTTTCATCAGTGGGTTTATAGCGCACACAATAGTAACACGGGTTAACGTACTTGTAGATTATGGGCGTGATGTGCAGTATCTAACCGTCAAGGCCAAATGGTCTCCTAAGATATGCATATCTTTGCACGAATTTAAGTTAGAATACGCAAAATAAATGGTGTTATTTTGAGGACTATAATCATACATCCTCTCGGCACTAAGTTTAATTTTCTCATGTTGTTAAAGAAACATAACGGTGAATCGTCACATTTGGGCGTCGTGATCATTTCCTATTATAGCTTTTTGGCTGATATCAATTGACCATCGTAACTGAACTTGTTGAATATAATTGTGTAGTCGAGAAACCCAGTGGGATGAACGGTTTGTAAAATTTTGAAGCTGACTCAAGCAGAATGATGATTTCAAACGCGTGCTCACAGAGAACCAGACGGATATTTTTGATTCAAATTGTAAGGCATTGTAACACTTACTCACTGGCCGATTTTCACAATTTCCATTGGTGACTCACAAAGCACAGTGAGACTCTACTGCCGTGCATAGATCACAGGATGCCCAATTTTAACGAATAAATTGACTGATTCTGATTGAAGCAAAGTAAAGGCACTTTTCTCACATCGTGATTGTCAAGTGTTTGGTAATCTACTTTTGTTAAATATTGGCACTCAAACAAAATATCCCAGCGCAATAACATGTTGATATGAGTAATTCTCTGAGGTGGTCGAGAGTTTAGTAGTCTGGTTTTGCTCTTCTTTTGTGTTTTATGTACATGGTAACACCCTAGTTTAACATGATAATGTTTCATACTACACGTAGGTATGAGTAATATTTTAAAGCACTCAAGTGTTTTGAGTCTACATTTTTCTCTTTTGGTATCGCCAAAACATGATACCTCGGTGAAATTTAAACGCTACTGGGCGGCGGGTCAATTTCAGTCGTTTAGGCGTTCTTCTTACACAGCAAAAATATACGTAGTTTGATCGCCCTATAGGTCAGATTAAGAATATTCCGTGTGTATTGAATAAATTGGTTTGTATTCAGGAAACCCGTGGGTTTTCTCAGTGGTAAGTTAGACTCAGGTCTCCCTCGTTGTATTTTTCATTGTAAAATCAACCCCAGAGACTGTTTAAACAAACATTGCGTTTCTCTGTGACCTAAAACTAAATGAACATGCATAAGTAACCATAACATCACTTTTCCGAGTCACTCACTGTTTAATGTGTCTGCACCGCCTTGAAAGGCGAGTCATTCACTTCTTGGAATTTGAAAGAGCTTGCAAATTCTCTTGAGAACGGTCTGTTGGCAAACGTACACGTTTTAGTAGCGTTTGCTCAGACACTTTAAAATCTACATGTAGTTTGTTTCCGGGTACACTTTTTATGTTGCCTTTTCAATATTGGCTGATCAAAGCAGCTGCTAGGTAGTGCAACTGTGTTTTTTTTATGGAAAGTGTTTTCCAGAACAATTTTTTGCGCGATAAAACATTACCATATTTTATATACATAACCATTTGATACTCGTAGTAATAGAAAAGTAGATCAACATGTTTCACTAACCAGTTCTCTATACAGTGTAAGAACGCCAGTAACGACCTTCGATTCATTTCACAAAAGAACAACACAGGAATAAAATGGTAATATTAGTATCTTTCTATATTTTCAATGCACATCTTATATATACAAACGTTTTGTACATAACAATGCTCAGGCAACCCTGGCTTCATCTAAAACTGGGACTGAAATTTGGAGTACCTTTACTCCTCAATATGACACAATAAGGCTTAGCCTACTATAAATAAAACGCAAAACAAACTAAAACATGAACTAAAGCTCGACTTAAGTATCTTTGGGTAGATCAGTTCATGACCAGCAAGTGGTAAAAGTACTTCGCATACTTGTGCAAGCACTATTGTATCGGTTTGACCGAGTCAAGCATTCGGAATAGCTATTCTTTGGTTTTTGCTATACCAGAGTCATTTCTCCTTTGGGATTTGGTTCAACTAATTGCGCTTGAATCTTGATCTGTTCAGTATTTGTCAAATCATGGGACTTTCACATTAAACAATTGAACCTTTCAGTAAAGAGATAAGTGTCAGTTTGTTTCCTATGAGAAACTGTCGGGTGCAGCAGGATGTAGGAGAGGTGGGCCTCTTCTTCTAAATGTAGGTGTTCCTGGACGTGCGCATACGGCATACATGCTGGCGTTGATATGATACGAAAAATTGTTCAAAACTGCAGGAATGTTTCTCACAATGGCATACTGCGCCATCGTCTATATAATATTGAGATATTACATGTCTTGGGTTCAATTGTGCTTACATAAAGTGAATAACTTAATAAATATAGTGAAAGAGCAAAATATACAAATACTTTATCTGAGGGTCTCACTGATAAAATATGGTACGAAAATAAATTACTCTCCAACCAGTCTCTTTTATATCATCCGCGAAGTAAGGTTAGAAGACGAACCCAATTCGCATCGTCCGGAAGTCTATGTTATCTTCGTTTTCCGCTTTCAAAAAGTTTCCTGAAATCTGCAAAACTCATACCTCCCAGAGCAAGCACGGGTTCACGATGCCGACTTCCTCTAGCTCTTTCTAAAGTACTTATAGCAACATCGATGTTGTCAAGTCCGGCTATACCTATAAAACATCAAGAAATAAGCAAATTCAGAAAATTTCTCAGACACGTGCGTTGTGAATAAAGTTCATATATGGAAGGCTATGATTGGCTCATATTGATCATCTGACCACTGTGACGTCACACTTAAGTGAACATAAACTGTGAGATTAAATGAAAAACCAACAAGTACACGTTAAGTTTTAGAAAAAAATGTGACCTTCCAGTAAAGAACTTTTGCAAGTCTAAAAAAGTATTGCAGTTCAAAGTGTGTTCAAATCCTGCACAATCCTTTGAATACACTTCAAAGATTTGCGTCTTTTATAATTAAGTCTACTTAATGACAACCTACTCGCAATGGCGTTCACTATATGTTCCTAATGACACAGTATCGACTTCTCAAACGTCTTATATTTCATTAAGAGCACGGAAGGTGAGAATCTTTGAGCAAGACACAATGGGGGGACAGGTGGGTCGGTTACTGGAGTTAAAAGTCACCAAAAATATCTATATGTCAGCCTTAAACCAATAAACACTATTGGAAACATGCAACTGCAAAGGCAACGTACTAGGACACCCATAACACACAAGGAAGGAAACTAATTAGTAAGCGAAGAAAACACATCTATGGAAAAGGTGCTCCTTTGAAATTCGTAATAGTTAACGAAGAGGTAATCTAGCGTAAATTAGCTATAGCGCCCGAGAATAAAGTGTTAATAGATAAGTAAACAAAATTTGAAACTTTGGATCGATAAGTTAGAACAATTCTACGCAAAAGTCGGAGTTAATTAAGTATCGACGAAAACACGCTCACTGGTTTGTTACGGCTTAGGTATGTTATTTTTGAAATTTAATAGCTTACTCAAAGAAAATCGTTTACACTGTTCCCAATTGGCTTCTTTAAATGAGCGTGGAGATCAATCTGATTCATAAAGAGTATACTAGGGTACTGTATAAGATCAAGATACTTTATGGCCTTTAGAGTTTCAAAGGCATACTTTGTCGTGATCAGGTTATGACCTAATCTTAACAAGTATTATTTAACACAAGAGACGCCTCCCTTTTAAGTCAAGTTCCAAACCTTCGACATTGTTTTCTTAAAAAACATTGTTGTCATGATAAACGATAGAGACCCTTCAAGGCAAATGACGATAAAAGACATAAAGCAACGCTACCGGCAAGAATAGTTACCAATCGACTTATAAAAAAGGCGTTTCTTTGTACAGTTGTGTTTTACAGGATCTTCTCAATGACTTTGAATGGATAAAAGAAAGGCTAATAAATTTTGCACACAATGAGTATGTCATGACATTTTGTATTGCAACTTATGTACACGGTTGTCTATAATTACAAAGTGATATATCATTCCGTATGAAGGAACAAGTCTCCAAAAGCGAGATATAACCGGAAGGCAATCGATTATGTCAATAGGCTGAATGTGAATGGCATTTGAACGCGAAGTTAAGAACAAATTAACAGAAATAGCCAAAACACAATTTTTCATGGAGAGTAAACAAGAATCGGCGACATTGTTGCACAATATCTACTCAGTTCCGGAGTCAGGACGTGGTCGGGGGTGGACCGCAAGCCAAAGCAAGACTAGGTGCAAGCCACGGTCTGCACCCATTCAGACTACGTTGGTTTATGAAAAGAAATTAAGGACAATAAGAGTGACAAAATGATGCAGGGGTATTGAATACCACATTGCCAGGTGCTTTAGTTATGTGCTGATATCAGAGATCCGTGTCCGACATGAAGAGGACACGGGGGTGACACCATAGTTAGTGCCTTTCTGTACCATGTTCTCGGATGTCACCGCTAAGGTCAACTTATACGGTTTAGACAATCACGTACTCGGACATCACTGACATGCGAGCCCCAGTGTCAGTACGTTCTATGCACTTAGACGCTTAGTAACGAATAGACGTATAATTAACGTATATTTCATTGCCATTATATCCACACGTATTACGCTCATTAAGTTATAATTATCATACGGGCAAACTTGACAAGTTCATTTGCCAGCTTGACCTGCTATTTTCATTTTCATGTTTCCATAATTTATGTTAAAGTCCAAGGTTATTATGCGTACGGGGTAAATGTTATAAGTACCATAAATGTAGGGGTTTGTTATAGAATTTGCATTTCACCGTAAACATCCAATATAGTATAACGAAAAATGAAACAAGATTAATATAAAAACGAAAAATGGAGGATACAATACCACAAGCACACGGGTGGATGGATTAAATACGTCATACAATTAAACACACACTTAATATGTTATATAATTAGATTGTGTACCATAAAAAATATTAGATTTGCTTTGAAAATAAAAATTCTTTTACTGTTGAAAGCTACTGTAAGGAGGCATGGATGGAAAGAAGGAGGAAGGATAAAAGGTATGATAAGTAGGATTATAAACAATCCTCATCACAAATGATTTACTGTCAGCAAGGCATCTGAAAATTGCATTACTTTTTTCTTTGAATAAAAAAGAAACGATGATTGTTCTCAACTTTTGTCACATGTAGGCAGACACAAGCTGACAATAATGCATCGATGCTAACCTTGTCAATATAATTTTAGCGCAGATTTGAACGAAGTCGACTGCTGAGCATCGTTCTATAAAGAAAAAAAAAACAATTTCAACAATAACACGTGAAATATTCAATTTGCTGCTGACGACTCTAGGAAGTGGTTGCCGCAGTAAATGATCAGTGATACCACACACCAGGTTAGTAACTGGTTAACAGGGAGGGGTACTTACTCGGTTTAAATTGATAACGAGATGAAGGGGAATGGTGCTTACTCGGTCTTTTAACCCTGTGGTGGACCTTTCTGGATTCTAATAAAACTTGTACTATTTTGTCGGCTACTCTGTTGGCTTTGTAGTCACTGTCTTGAACCTCCGGAAGCATCGATTCCTCTGGGACTGTGTCTAAATTTGGCAGAACGTATCCTCGGGCGGATGGTATGAGTAGAGAGGCTACAGTTAGTAGTAAAAATAATCGGAGCACGATTGACCACGCTGTTTGTGACGTCGTCATAATCTTTGGTTCAAACCTGGAAAGAAAAACAAATCAAAAATAAGCAGTGTATATAGATGCGGAAAATTTTTTTAAAAAATTAGCTAATTGAAAAGCTCTGTTTAATTAAACTTACCAAGTAAAACCAAATGATCTAAAAAAGAAAATTAAGATACAGTTTAACTTGGCCATCTTCACTAAGCGACACAGCTTGAAATGATGTCTCACACGCTGCTCGACAGCTTTTTAAATAAATAACCTCTACACACTTGGCAAGCAATAAGTCATCAGTTGAATTAATAGCTCCTTGCACCGCTGAGAACACCCACCTGAGGCAAAAGAAAAAACAGCAAGTTTTCTATTGACAGCTCCTTGATTAACTTATAGTATCAATTGAAACTTATTCCTGACTGGTTTCATTGCAATATAATATCTGTATGAGAAGCACGCAGTAAAATCGATCTTATGAGTGGTGCACCGCTCCTGCGGTGTGCTCAGCTCAACGTGCACTCAACTAACTGATCACTCACATAGCCCACGAGCTTTTATAGCCTCATTTTCTGATCTTATCCCACCTCATACCTTAGTAAAAGTCACACACCGTGCATTTGCAGCGATTAAGCGACACAGCATTAAAATCATCCCGTACTATGATTATCTGCGGAAATTGCTAATTCGTTTTTATTGTTACATGGGGCAAAACAACCGTTCGCAATTGTTCGTCGCTCCATTCATGGAAATCTCTGTATGTTACTAATGACATTTTCTAGCCTACTTAACCACTGATAAATGAGGCGGCAAGATTAGAGCTAAGACGTTTTTCAAAGAGCTTCTGATAAGAAAAAACATTTTCGAAATCCTTGAAAATCTGCAAGCCTGTGTCCAATGAACAAGTACCTCATCTGTGGGAAAAAGGTGTGCGGTGCAGATAAAAAACAAGGCAGATAATTATGGAGATTAATCGCACAGAAATACGACTTAATTCAGGTATAAAAACCGGAAAAGTTATTGTGTCCTCTGTAACGCGAGTCCACAGACAACCATCCATTTTTAACTGCGTCAGATACTGGTAGTTTTTTTTTCTTCCGACAACCCGATGTTTTCATATATTTTCTGTCCCTACAGGTTTCGAACCGATTAAACACAGCAGTTGTATACTAGATGTTCTATTTGGTGATGTGGGCAAGAAAACAATTAATTGCATTACGCCTAATTTTGGAGTAAATGGACAATGACAGCATTGGATTTGTCAAACTTTAAGTTCCCAAAGGAAAAGTGTCATTGCCATACACAATCAGAATAGTTGAGTTATAGACCACTTTCTTCTAACTAGTTTGACGTATGAATTGCAAGTGAAAAGGAAAAGGAAAAGTGTCATTGCCATACGCAATCAGAATAGTTGAGTTAACGACCACTTTTTTAAAACTAGTTTGACGTATGGATTGCAAGTGACCTAAACAAAAACGTCAATGTTGCGTGCAAACAGATACTGTGCTCAAAAAAGCAAACAAAAATGTTCTTTTCGTATTTTATCCAAATTAAATGACCAATCAAATTCCATTTCCAAATCTCACTTTTAATGATGGGGTAAGTGAACATGGGCGAAGTTAATACTAGACAACACCCTGGCTGTATCGTATGGTTAAGGGAGGAAATAAAGCTCTGTTTAGTGGTCTTATCATAATTGTTGTGAGGTCCACCTATTAATTAACTGCTAAAAAGAACGTACAACACGTGTTTGAGTGATGAGTATGCTATAAAAGAAAAGTGAACGGTCACGCTTCGGAGCAGAGGGCAGCTGTGAGAGGTATGGGCTGATTTCGACTCCACGTCCTTCTGCCACTGGGGGGCGTTAAGTACGGAAAAGGAATAAACGCACAAAAAATGTCCATGCCTAAATTAAAACACGTAACAGCAATTCAAAATGATCAGATGAAAGCGAATTAACGTTCAAAGTCTCAAATATAACTTCTTTTTTTACATCTTGTATTGGCGTCATTCTCATTTCAGAATAAAAATCCATTAAACAGGAAAATATTTTTTTTTGTTTCTATAAAGAGGACTGCGTCAGAAGGTGCTGGCAGAAGTAAAAATCTTTGGAACTTTCATAAATGGAAGCAAAAATTAGTTAAAATTGCGTTTTTAGCAGCTCAATCTCGCTTGATTAGAATTTTACGCAAGAAAACTTCACTATTAGCCTCCTAGAACCTTGCTACATGTATATAACTAAACCAACGAAAAAAAGAAAGAAAAATCGATAAAATTGATATATCAACAGAAATAAATTAAATGAATAGTGGCATAAAACAGCAATAAGTAGAGATGATATTTATTTTCAAACCGTTATCACAGCGGTAAAACTACGAACTTTGATTGTTCCCTGTTTATCAATGATCTAATGTGTAGTGACTGTTGCTATATTTAGAATTTTGACAGACTATAATTTTCTCGACTTTTTCCTTCTTTCACTGCAGTAAACCTTGGTCTCCTATATTTAACTGTGTACTAAGTCTGCACGCAACCGGCAGAAGCAGGCCAAGTGCACCCTTGTGCAACGGTTTATAAAAATCATCGCTTTTCTGCTAGGATGAGACATATCGGGCTAGCATTCCTATTGAGACATGAGGAAGAGAGCTGCAATCCCTCCCCCAATGTAAACCGACCAAAATCGTTTTATATTGTATATCATGGGTTGATGTCCTCTCCTGCTCTATGAAAACAGTGGTTTTCATTCTTCTTATGTACCTGTGCCCAGGAAGGGAATTAGGATAATAAACAAGCTAATTTCATCTTCCATCTCTGTGAAAACGCTTTATGTGTACCAAAATCTTTCAACTGAAAGCCATAGGTCCCTGAGTGCGCTTCTAAGATAGGCTTATTACCGTTTTTAAAACTGGGCGTAGCTAATTTAATTCAAAACGACCTGCAGGTGTTGCTTCAGATGAGTGTGTGAGATTACTTTCCTAAATTAAATCATTAGCTCGATTAAAATCTCATCGACTAAACTTTAATATTTTTCACATTCTTGTCTTTTTCTCAATAATTGAACATTATTGAAAATTGTTCTGAAAATAACATATATTTTTGACAGCAATTTATCCTCGTTCTTTTTCACAAAGTCGCACGGTGTTATTTTTGAATATATAACATATATATAACAATAAATGATGACATGTAATTCAGCAATTTTGCTCCATTGTTAAATACAATTTCATAGCCAAATACCAGATAAAACGTTTTATACATTCACATATCATGGAAATTTGCTTGTCTACTCAACCGCAAATCATTGACACATCCATTACCGACATGCGTGTGTTTAACTCATCTGATTTTACTCCCTTTGAACCTCTTATTGCTTTTGAAGAGCACTTTACTCGGGGCTGTCCCGAAGATGTTATCATTCTTTATCACCTATACACATGCGCGAGCTACATGTAAAGACCCCTAAACCGTTATGCACTCAATGCCGCGACGCACTACTGAAACGTTGACTTAGGCCTGACCTACTGCTTTGTTAAAACTTGCCTCTGTCACAGTTACTTTCAACGAAATGGCCATTAATTTCAAAGGGTTTAGGTTAGACATAAAACACCATTCTCAAAACCACTAGCAAACCCTTGATTTTCTATTGATTTCCTATTGCTTCACTTAATTAGTGCGTTTTCTATTCTTTTGGCACAATTCTAGACTCGGCAACCACGAAATGAGTGTCGAGAGCTAGCGCTGACAGAAACAACAGCAGCATTGCGGTGTTTTCAATGCATTGTGATCAAGCATCGGGATTCCTATGCGCACCTGACTTCAGAACGTCCGTATTTAAAAAGTATTTTGTATATTTTCTTTTACACAAAAGAGACTACCAGTATCCTAGCTGATAACCCACATGTTCTTTCGCCGATCGGTTTTAAAGCGAGCTTTCTTGAGTGTTGCGTCATCTGGTGACTTTATTTTACTAATAAGTGACATGCCGCAAAATTTTACCATCACTGCATTTTCTCTGGCTAACAACCAATTGGCATGTTTACTGAAGAACACTTTGGGTCCTTTTAAGTCTTGCATATATTTAAATGATGTGAAAAAAATAAAACTTGCTATTTCTAGTTCTAGTTCTTTGGAGGAAAACGAATGCCCTCAAAGAAAAAATAAAATAAAATGCCAGCATCTAGTACTAAGAAATGCCACTTTTTACTTTTTCCGGACCGATGATGTGTACATGATCGACCCATGCACAAGTAGATCCTGAATTCTTGTTTTTATTGGTGAACAGTGAGCCGTAACCCTCGCATTTACAAGAACCTCTGTGTGTGAGAGAGAGAAAAGCAAAAGAATTACCGGAAAGAGGACTGTTAACGATAACCTCAGAATAAGTCAGAGTAAAATAAAAAGCACTGCGTACGTGCGCCTTAACCACAAGTGCAATTAGTTATTGCTTTGAATCTATAAAACGGGAAGATGTCATTAATATCAGTTGTCAGCATGACAAAGGTGAAATATTACAGGACACTTATTGCGATAATGTTTCTTGAACTTCAATGTTCAAAATGGCCGATTTTCATGTCGGTTTCGATTTCAAACTTGTTGTTATCACAGTCTGCAGGGAAGTTCACCTTAGAATGCCTCTCAAACAGACAATAAAATATGAAAAAGAAAAATAAAGGCGAGACAAACTGCTGGGTCTATTATCGCATGTCTATATTTAGTAGGCATATTCTATTAATAGCCTTTACTTATGGTAGCAGGGCGCTATAAGCTTTATGCTGAAAATCGGTGGCATACACGCTTCACAATAAAACGGGGACCAGCGTTGTATGATTTTTTTAAAACTTACTGTAAACAATGGTATTATTGGTCGATTTATATATTGCATATAAGTATGCTATTTAAATTCCTTCATTATGTTTAGATTATTTTAAATCCGAATCACAAAAAGACGTCATTTATTTAACTTGTGGAGAAAAAGATATGATTCAAATATATCGAGGCCTGAGTCAATGAATGAAAATAGCATTCCTAAGAGGTCAGGAACATGATTTT